ATACACATATATATACATACATATATATACATATATATAATTTTAAGTGAAATGACAGTGCTCACATTAGTAACTATCAAGTTCAAAAATGGAAACACATTAAGCCAAAGGGACGTTCCTTTCACAAGACATTCCTTGAGAGAGACCAAAGCAAAATGCTGTCTTACCTTTGGAGTTCTTCTTCTTTTTTGCTTTTGATATAAGTTCATCCTGCAGTTCCTCCACAAAGTTTTCATTTTGGCTGCCATCATTTTGCACTCTCTCACCAGAGTGCTTACGCTTCCTGTCCAGACGTGGACATGGATGTTGGCCAATATCTTCTGTTGGCTGATCTTCTGCTTTTTCATATATAGAATGTCTCTCTAAATAACATTTCTCATTTGAGAGATCTTTTTCCTCTGGAGTTTCAAGAAAGTGACCTTGGTTGTTTTCTGTACTAGTAAAGTTACCTAAAAATAAAAAAAAACAAACACCACAAGACCTAATAAATACAAAACAATTAACTGTGAGAAAGCTAAGCTCTCTGATCTCTTCAATGTCATCTCCATCATGACCTGTTGGCTCATGAGGCATGCAAATAGACGCAAAATTGTACTTTGGAACAAGCCTCCTCTGCTCAGCCTAAGGCAGCCATTTTCTCAACAGTAAAGTACAAAAAACCCCAAAAGCGCAATATTTGTGTTGTTTTTACATCAATTTAAGAAGTACAATATTCACAATACCTGTATCCATAGAAACATTATAATACATATTTTTAAATATAGAAACATCTTTTAGGTATCAAAAGCATAGACCCTTTTCAGAAAGCAACCTCACCCCCACAAACCGTGGTAAGTAATAATCCAAGCGCCACTTGGCAACTACTTTATTTTCAAAAATACCTTCAGATGATAATAAAGTATTAGTATTTCGATAATTCCTATCCTTCCCTAACTTCTTGCATCAAATTGCAGCCTGACTTAAAAGCATTCATCCCTCCTCCTGGAGATACAAATAGGATATGGAGCACACACACACGTACACGGGAATACCACCAAGAATAGCTGTGATATTTTGCAAAAAGCAACACTTGAATCCAAGGTTATAAAAAGGCTTCCTCACTTCAAGTAACCAGCCAGTCACTGCACATCACATGAGCTTTGTCACCTCCTTTTAAAAAAGACCTCACTTTTTTTCAGGGAATATTTCCAGCAGCAGCGAGCGGGTGAGCTTTCTAGCATACTAGCATACTAGAAACTAGTCTGACAAACTAGCCACAAAAACACCCATGTGGTCGTGTTTGCCTTAACTTCAGCTTCCCCTCTTCAATACTGTTCCCTCAAATTTAGAGACAGTTTAAGCTATTTTAAAGGGATGCTTGACTTAAAACGACACTTAATCACCATCTTGAATAGGTATTTTTTCTTGTGTTCAACCAAACTAGCCGAGGCACGGTTAGGCAGACATGCAGCACAGACTGCAACATAGTTTATCAGCTTCCTATTTACAATTTTCACAAACAACATGGTTTTCCCACGCATTTCAGCCCTCCTGGTGGACCAATATACTCTTTCCACATGTCTGACGCTGTTTGGCAAATTGTCTGTACCCTCCATCCTACTTCCCCACAGCTCACTGTCCCTTTTCCTTGTCCTCCTCCTTGCCCTTCCTCCTTCTCCCACTTCCCTTCCTGCAAACACAGCTGGTGGTTTCCTACCTGGACTCCTGACAGCTGTTTCCCTCCCCTACCCTTGATTCTCCCAGTCCGTACTCATCCTCCTCCTGTGTACAGCCTGGTCTTCAGCTTCTGCTCTTCCCCCTCACCAGGACAGACATTGCTGCCCCACAGCCCCTCTCCTCTCCCATCCCCTCTGAGACCCACCACACTAGTGAGACCCACCACACCAGTGAGAACCACCACACCAGCATCCATGCACTGGCAGCTCCTGGATGCAGCCCAGCTGCATCCTTCTTTATCCTGGGAGCACCTTCCTACAGTTCTGCTAACACCACCTAGTTTCACGACCATCACTGATCTGTTGTCAGCAATAGAAGGCTGAGGGGGGAAAAAAAACCCCCAAACCTCTCTGAAGAGGTTTTTCTTCCCCACAAGTTGCAAATGGTTCCAAGGAGCACCCTGAGCTCTGGAGATGTTTGCAGGCACCAGAAGACATCACAGCATCATTTTTACACTGCTTTGGAAGCTGCCTGCAGGGCTGCTTTATAAAACAGCAGAAGATATTTGTCCAAGAAAAATCAAAACAAAAGTTGACTTTTTCCAGGCAAGCAGGACACTCAGGCCATTCTGCTATCTGGCAACTCTCCTCTCTGCAAGGCCGTCTGGACAACACCTGCTCCCTTCAAGACTTTAAAATGCAGTTTGTCACACTTCTTCCAGCCAGCAATGCTGACATGTTCCAGAAAACAGGTATCTCAGCTTACTACGACTGTGCCTCTAAATCGCCAGTGTGCCCCCAAAGCGGAATGAATCTGGCAACACCCCGAGCTTGCACATCTGGCACAAAGATGCTGCCCAACAGCTGTACCCTATAACCACACCAACAGCACCAGCAATCCTGTTTCACACAGCATAAAAGAAGCTGGACCAGCCACGTTTTAAGTATCACTTTAGAAATGCTTCTATCGGATTTCATTTTACATTTTTAATGCAATCTGCTATTTTTCTGCCTTACATAAGGAAACATTATATGCTCGGTTTCCCCGAACAGATCAGGTAAGGGCACTCATAGCCTTTGTGTTTCCAGCAGTACCAGCAACTACACCACGGTTCACACCAAGAGTTGCTAGATCATGACAGCTTTCCTTCTCCTAACACTGTCTGGCCTGAGTAAAGGCAGGCACATCCCGACCAATTCCCGGAGAAGCTTTTGCAGGGTCAGAGGAAGTAGCAGGCTGGGGAGGGGGTGGGGGGGTTGCTGGTCTTAATCTTTGAGGCTTGCAGGAAACAGCAAGCTAATTCCAGCCTGCCACTGCCGAAAGCGACGCGCTGCAGATTAATTCCTTCTCCATCTGCAAGAGGACTTGGCACACGGATGCCGAGCGCTGCTCGCTCAGACCGTCCGTGCTAAAAATAAAAAGGAGCGGAGAGAGATTTGCTGCAACCTCACTAACAGCTCGTCACAGTCAGCATTTCTCCAGAGCTCCGCGAGCTGCGGAGAACAGCACACACCTATTGAAGTTCATCCAAAAAGCCCTCGCTGCCAGCAGCTCTGCCACACCTTTGCCGCCACTCTCCGGTCAAGTCCAAGGGGGAGCCCTTAGGCGACCGGAGCTACGTCTCGTTGTCCGCCGAGCTAGAAGTCCCTCTCAAAGACTGCCCACCACACACGCATCTCTGAAATCCATCCCACTAGATGCGGTTAAGACCATTAGAGGAGCGACATCTCCGCACGTTAATCTGGGTTGCATAACCATCCTTCATCAACACGGGAGGACAGAGATGGCAAAGCCAGGGAGCCGCGTCCTTGCCTATCTGCTCTGCAGCTGACGCTCCCCACCTCTTCTACAGCCGGATTTTCATTGCAAAAGAACAAAGGTCAGCTGCTGTTGGGGACACAGCTTAACCCACAGGCTGTCAAGGCTCTCTACGCAGCTTGCACGGACACGCTGCATGCCTAGAGGTTTCACCCCTTGGCACAGCGGCAACCGCCTCACAGAGCGCAGGCTCTATTAATATTTTACCACCGGATTCCACCCTGTCCTCAAACTGTTTTGCAAGCAACTCGGATCAGACGCGATGTCTCCCCAAATTAAGATATAAATGTCAACATGAGGCACAGCAACATAAGCATATCGTGCATGTCCAACAAGGACAAGGAGAATTTATTTGCTTTTGTTCCCCCCTACCATGTATCTACAACATCCTTCTCTCTGCCCGAGGAAGAAAACAACAATAAAATACTTGGAGTTTTCAAATCATCATAATTCAAACAGCGATGAGGTAGCCAGAAACACAGGATAAATGCTGAGTTCTCACAGCAACACACCTCTATGAGGAAGGCGATTAAACTCCTAAACGTGTTCCTTCCTCAAGCCTCCAGCATTTGCCAGGTTCACACCAGCTGTGAGAACCAGCAACAACAACTCAAACCATTTCTCCCTGTCCTGCCCAGCTAGAAACAAGGAAGAATTAAGAAGATGCTTCTTCCCATACGGTTTCTACCTGAAGCATTATCTCCTTAGCGCACAGGTTATGATCTCATGAGAAACAGTTACACACACACAGAAACACGCTACCCAAAAAAAACTTTCCTTCATTTTTCCATCTTCCTGTTGCTGTCAGCTGCTTGAGACCAGGCCCTCCCATGCGATGCAAACAAGGAAACACATCTTGGTGTTTAAATTGTGATTCTTTTGTTCAAATAACATGGCAGCTAAAAACAGCCTTTCCTCTTCCCTGGAGCAGCCTCTCATTGCACTCACTTATGCAAGGCACCCTTTATTCATCCCAGGACGGTAATGACTACCCAAATGCTAAAACCAGTGTTCAGCATGAAAATCACAACAACAATGAGAAATTCTGTAAGTCACTTTTCAGCATCCAATTCTGAGCATCCCATGGAGCAGAGGGAACCCAGATGATTTCATTTTTCCCTCCAAGTACCTCTGCTTGGGAACCTTCCCCATTTGTTTCCTTCTGTCCAAGCCCACTGCTCTGCACAAACAAGCAACTGCCATTCTCTCCTTGCAGAGAATTCTGGTTTTTAACTTTTTTTTTTTTGCACTACGTCCCACCGCAGGAAGGTAATAACTGACCAGGGCAAAGGACATGTTTACTGTCTCCATCTTTCATTTGTTCAGGTATACACACAGCCCAGCGAGAAAAGCAAAGCAGCAGATTACCATGCAAAGGGACACTGGCACCTTGCTCCGACACCGAACATCAGCTCTAAAGGCTCTGGCACATTACACCATTTACTTTTACACACAGAAACAGCTTTAACTTTTCCCCATGACCTCATGCCTTAAGATCAGGTTTTTAACGTATCAGGTTTTATTTTTCCCAGCTAAGGTTTAAACAGGCAGTGTCTTCTTCCTAAAAAATTAGATGAACAGCTAATTACACTCGTTGACCAAGAAATTCACAGCTTGTAGAATCTATTCAATCTTTCACACTTGGGTGTGATTTTTCAATACCGCTACAAGAGCTTTGTTACAAACCGACATGCGATCATCACATGCCCGTATTGATGCGGGTGTCCGTGCCAATAGCTTAAATCACTTGATCTCCGAACAATCCTATGACTCATGACATATGCATCCCATAATTTATCATGGTTGTGCTATGGAAATGCACCGGAGCAGCATCGCCTAAGCAACATTTACAAGTCACCTTGGCAACAAAGCAGCTTCGCGGCTGCTCTCAGAACGCCCGGCAAAACCTAAACGAGATGGGAGAGAATTAACGCACTTCTACTTTACTCCCTAGCTTTAATTGCTCATTAATTAGCCAACATGGCTACCTTCCTGAAATCAGGACTTTTTTTAAAAAAAAGAAACCACCTTTTTTACCCTTCTCCAGGAGTCATAACGAAGCTTAAGGCAGCTGTTGGTATGGGAAAGCCATGCACCACCAAGTCAGAGGAAAAGTTCAAGGAATCAGATATTGTGCCATCGTTTGCTTCCAAAAAAAGTCCATACACACGGTATAAAAGCAGGAAAACGAGCAAGTCCCAGGACAAGCTAAAAAAAGGAGTTTCAATCCCATCAGATGCGTCCGTAAGCATCGCCTGCCTGTGTTATTTAGCCTTTTGTTGTTGTTGTCGTCCTCGCACTGGTACATTTAGAGGAGCCCAGGGGGCAAGCAGCTGCTAGTGCCCTGCACTGCTCCTGCGCTCCATGCCAGGCATGGCTGCAGCCGAGGAGCCCTGCGAGCCGGCTCCGTGCACCGTTTCGGTTGCAGTTTTCCTCTTCCCCCACTGACACCAGGCAGGTGAAGTACTCATGGCTGGAGTTGTGCCTGACAGCTCACCAGTTTTGCTCCTAAATTCCCCGCTCACATACATAAAGGCACGCCACTTTGCTTTTAGCCAGCACTGGATGAACACTACATAAAACGAGGTGAAACATCTTTCCAGCAGCAAGATCACTTGCAGGAGGCAGAAAGGAAAATGGAAGAGCTGCAAACCCTCAGCTAGTTCCCATTCAAGAGCTTTAAAGCCAAACGCACCAAGAGTGTGGTTAAAAATTACAGGGAAAGGGAAGGCAAGAGATAAGTAGCCCTGGCTCTCGCTGGTGATAAACAAAGGGGAAGAGCAGGCAGAGCGCATCACCCCTTTGCCAGCCACTCAGCAAGACATACATCAAGACCACTGGTGGCTCAAGCCCCACCAGAGCCCAAGCCACTACACTAGAGGCATTCAAGAAGTGTGAAACTCGGCTTCCTGATTTATCAGCTGCTATCCCAAGGGGCAGGAGGTGAACCACCACGATAAAAAACTTTTACTGAGACCTGAATCTGTACCGGTAAGTATTTGCTGCTGTACAGGCAGGCATACAGCAGAGGAGCAACCTCAGCAGAACAGATCTGTGCTTTTAGGAGTTTAGACATTCAGTCAAACTCCAAAATAGCCTGTTAAGTCAGAGCTAATTAGAAGATGAGAGGAAAAAACTAACATAAGACTGAACACACTTTTCCTGCTTCCAACAGTTATTTAATAGTCTCAAATACATTTTAGCCAGGAGATTCAAGTGCCGGAGACTTCACTAAATTATGAATTTAAGGATCCACAATGTCAGCCTTTTGCAAGGATGGGAGGGGGGATGTTTCAGCAAACAACAATGCTCTAAGGCTCTTCCTCCCCACAGTCCCCCCAAGCAGCATGCCCCACACCCCCAAGCAGCCTTTCCCTGCCTCTCTCACTCCTGTGTGCCCATTCCTGACCCCACAGACCACTGTCCCCCTCTCCCTCTGCTGTCAGAGCAAGCTGGAAAACACTGCTGCTGCTGCTCTTTCCAGCACACCCAGGGTGGGATTTAACAGAGGACATCACCAGGGCACCCTGAGCCCTCTGAAGAACAAGGGGGGTGGCTGCAAGGGGTGAGGAAGGGCTGCAGCCTGTCGAGCTCTCGACTTTAGCATGGGCACTGCAGAGTTCCTCCCCAAGGCAGCCTCGATATAGCTTGGAGAAGGGAAAGCCCGCTCAGCTTCCAGGGACTCGGCCTTTCTTCTCCCCACCTTAGTACCTTCTCCACTTCCACAATTAAAACTTTCCCTTGCTATTTTGCCAGGCTGATTTTTTTTGAGATTGTTATTTCAGTGACAGCAATACCACAGTAACTTGATTTAGGGGAGTAACCAAGCAAGTATGATTGACCAGCATGCTCTCTGCCAAAAGCATTAACCAAAGACCAGAACAATAATTCAAGGTTATTAAATTGCCTGAATGAAATTTTCTACTAGCCCTACTCATGAATCTCCACCAAGAGCGCACTTAACCACTGAGTTACACAGTGCACGCATGCACACGCACACACACACAAGGCAGCCTGCAGTGTGTTTCCTCTTATTTTGCAATACCTTCAGTGTAGATTTTCTTTTTCTGAGTTGTTAAAAACAAAGTAGCAGCAGAAGGAACTGTCCCATTCCTTAATTATACACGAAAAAGAAAAAAACCTGGGAAACTGATGGAAGCCACACGCTTACCAGGAGTTCAAAAAAAAAAAAAAAAAGACAATTTTTCTTGCATACAGTAAAAAATATCCTAATACAATGTATTTATTTATTTATTAAGTGTATCTTACTTTTAGGACGGTGCTGCTACCACAGATTTTCCATAGTCCTCAGACACCTTGCCACAGCGTGGAGGGGGCAGCCAGCCCCATGGAGAATTGTGCAGCCCCCCGCCTGCCTGCAAGGACCGGTGCCACCCAGCAGCATGCACCCCCCACACGCACTGCAGCAAGAAGTCACTCAGGCAAACTAGCTTCTCATTGCTCCGAGTTTTACAGCCAGCTTTCATATATAAGGCAGCCTGGCAGATCACATCCTTTCCCGCTCCCCACCACCCTCCTGTCCTCCATCCCTGCTTTGCCTGGAAGCTGCAATATTGGCATTTCCCAGCGCTACAACACCAGGAAGCTGAAATCCTCCTTGCCTCTCACTCTTCCCCCACCTCCTTTCTGCATTTAAAACATAGCCTTAGACCTTTGCTTTCACTGGTTGATGTGGCACTTCATCAATTAAATGGACCATCTCTTTAACTGTGGTGACAGTTAACTACATCCCGAAAAGCAGGTACAACCACAACCAGTAACTTGCAGACCCCAAAACAAGCATGGAGAGCACCAGCCATGGCAGCTCTGCACCTGCCAAGGCTGAGGGCAGCGACTATAACCAGCAACACCGCGAGAACACAAAGATTATGCTGCCTGTGCAGCTTTGCTGCAAGCTGCCGCGGCACAGACACACGTACGCGCTTCAGAAAGCCATCTAAATTCGCTTACATCTGTCATTGTCATTTTGGTCAGCAATGGCATCTTCCAGAGCGACAGACTTTGGCTTCTTTTCACTGTTTCCTTTCAAGTTTTCCCAGTCTGCCTGGCTGAATCTGCAGACCTCCGAGTCTTTGGTAGCTGTTTGGCCTTCTCTCTCTTTCATCTCCAACTCTGAGAAGCGCATCATTGCACGCTAGAAAGAGAATTGGTATGAAAAAAAAAAGTCTTGCAATAAAAGCTACTTCATTTACCTTACCTTATATGAAAGCATTTCCAAAGAATAATCGTCTTAAAACCAAGGTTTGAGATAGATAGCTAGGGTAGGACTTTAAGACACCTGACTTGTATTACAAGTGTTCTAACATCTATATGCAAATAGCCACACAATTCTTTCATATATAGATATATATATAAAAGATATATATATATAAATGTATACTGTATGTAAAACAAAAAACATTCTGTTTTGGAGGTAAAAGGAGACAAAAACAAAAAGGAAAAACAAACAAAAAAAAACAACACAAAACCGTACAATGAATAAAGACGACCATGGCCCACAAACTTCCCTTTGTGTATTTGGAAATGAAATTTAACTCAAAGGTTTATGTAAGAGTCTAGTAATAAAAATTTGAAGAACTGACCTCACAGTAAGCAGCAGGTAGACATAAAATACTGTCCTCTTGTAATCCTTCCATCTATGTAATTAAAATGGGCACTCAATGGATCATTTAGATAATTTCATCCATTTTTATAAGCATAAACCAATTCTTTTCTTAACAATGCAAAACAATTTGGCTTAATTCATCCCTTCATTAAAAGTAAAATACCTTAAGGATATTCCTATACAATAGCTGTCTGTCATCCCTCAGCATCAACCTCAATACCACTCCTACTCTTTCCTCCGCGTTCACTTGGCGCAAACGTTGCCTGAGACCCACTAACACATGGCTGTGACTCCTCTCCATCAATCGGCATGTCTGGCATACTAATCACAAACTCTGGGTATGCTTTGCTAGCTAGCACTACCGGCCAGCTGAGAAATTACAGCCACTGCTAGCGCCAAGGTAACATGCATGCCTGTCCGACTCCCCTCCGTAACTGCACAAACATTTCATACGTACATTAACATTTTTATCAGATCTTGGTAAAAGCCCTTTAAAGCTTACTAGTGCATACATACGTAAAAGCTATACATCCTATCCTTTACATCACCTTGCTCTCATTAACAAACTTACTTTGCTATTTAAAAAGCGTTTCTGGCGAGTATGCCCTAACAAAAAAATTTCTGATTTCCCCACCTGCGTTGCTTGTCTCAACTTTTAATACTCGACTGCAACTTGCAACAGAGAAATAACGACATACAGCGCGGCGGTCGTTGGACCACGCGGACTCACCTGCAACGCCCGCTGCTCCCGGCTGAGCTGGCTGGAGTCTGCGTACAGTTCGGTTGTCACACACTTGAATCGATCACCTACGTAACCAGCAGAGTTTGCGATCCTCTTGGCCAACTTAGACGGCTTGGGTTTCAGGATTTTGCCATCGGCAGACTCCGTGTCGTCGGCTCCGTCTTTGGTATAGGTCTGGCTGGCATCGATGCTTGGCGGTGCGGTCCCCATGCAGAACGGCTTTGCATCCTCCTGCACCTTGCCAAAAGCCAGAGCCGGAGCATCACTCTCATGAGTGCTTTCCAAAAAAGTGGGCGAAGGCTGGACTGTCACCCTCTCTTTAGGCTGGCTCACAGATAAATCTTCTTTCCTTAAGCCGAACACCGATGAACTCTGGGCTTGCTTGAAATTATAGCCTTCGTGAAGATCATTATTTCTTCCAAACTCCTCTCTCATTACAATAAAATCTCTGTGCTGTGATGCCTGCTCTACCTTGTGCTTTGTAGGGTCATTAGCCTGATTACTGCTTTCCGTAGCAAAGCTGGCTTTCGTTACGTTTGCTTCACTTTTAGCCTCTTGCTCATCTCGCAGAAGATCTGGGAAGAGATGTTTGTCACTTTTGGCTGAGTTTTTACTGTGGCCAGAGCTCTGGTGCAATTTCACGCTCTTGTCGCTGGGTACTTCGAAATGCATCTTCCCACTGCTCTCCAGGAGCTCCGGCAATCGGCCCCGCAGAGCCGGGTCCTCATAGCGGACCCTCTCATGAGACCGTGACCTCCTTTCTGGCTTCTCCTCCTTATTGATCTCCAAAGCCGAATGCTGCAGCAGCATGGGGTGCACCATCCCCATCCCCAACGCGTCCTGGTAGGTCATGAACTCCCCTCGCCCCGCCGACAGGCTGTAGGGGAGGCCGGGTTTAGGAGCCAGGTGTCCGGGGTAGAGGCTGCCGTTGGGCAACAAGACAGGGTGCGGATACACATGTCCTTTCCCATGAAGGGAGAGAGGGCTGATGGCTATTCCCTCCGGCACCGGGTATGGGAGATAACTCCTGGGGTAGGTCAGAGGCGGGGAGCGAAATGCCTCACTGGGCGGCAGGAAGATGGGACTGGAGGCCAGGGCGGTCTCAGTCGCCTTGAAGTTGGCTTCCTGGCTGCAGGATTTGGCCACCTTATTGCTGTGTTTCGCAGGGGTGGCGACGGGCTGCCCGACATGCTGGATGACCGAGGCGGTACTCTCCGCGGAGCTCCTGGATGTCTTGGCGCAATCCACATTGGCGTTGGGAGCTGGTGATGCTGATGCCGGCCGCCCTCCTGTCGACACCGTCCCCGAAACGCTGCTGACAACCGCCTCCGTGCCACCCATCCTGGGGCAGGAGGAGCTCCGCTGCTGCGGGACCACCCAGTCTAGCGCCTTGTTTTTCAGCTGGACGCCCTTCCCGCTCTCCTCGCCAGGGCTGGGACCGGGAACGATCCAGGAGGAGGGAGCCGTGCTGATAATTTCAGGTCTATAGATGGGGCAGCCGTTCCCAGGAGAAATGGTTTCTTTCTGAACGATGTCGCTGCTGGGCAAGAGCGTCCCCCCTCCTGCCCTGCTGTGCACCAGCACCGTCGGCGTCAT